TTTTCTTTCTTGGAATTTCCGGTTTTTTGGACAATTGTCTTAAGGAGAAGATTTTAAGTTTAGGAAACATAATGCAATGCGCTGCTTTGCCAGTGAGCGTGTATTTGAAATCCATAAAAGGGTGCAGGTATGTTTGCTTACGTCATGCTTTTGTTACTAACCTATTTGTACCACGTTTTGGATTTGCAGTGTTAAATGTTGTGGAAGTAGTTCAATGATTATGATGCCTATTTTAGAATGCTTAAATTAGAAGTTGAGGAGTAGATGACATAGAGCACTAGCTTTTCCTAATTGAAATTCACTCAAGCAAAGGAGATTTTGGCTATTAACGTAATAGTTGCTTGTTCTTAAATGTGTAAATCTACTATTTAGTCACCAAATCGCCAACATTCACTGTTAGCTAAAGGTGATATGTGAACAAATTTACTTTGACCTTTCACTAGCAATTCTCGTCGTGTGTCATCCTACCTTCGTCGGCATTGGTTACAGGAGGCAGAGGAGGGTGAAGGTGGAAGTGAGCGGGCGGTGAATGAGGCAGCCTTGGCAGGTGTTAGTGGACAGAACAGCGTTGCAGCCCGACAACGCGCGTTCTCGGACCCCAGGGCTCCGTGTCCTCATCTCTTGTACCATCAACAGCACAATCAGCATCAACAGCAGAACCCGCTACGACGCCACCCACCACCAGCACGCCACTCTGTTGCCTTCTTCGACGCGCCCTCCCCCGTCTCTCCCAAATTCTCCGCTCTCCACTCTCCACCACCTCAGACACCCTCTCCGCCTCTCCCCATCTCTCCAATCTCCATCAAGGACAAATATCGGGCTATTTTTGACCTTCCTCTTGGTGCGTTTGTTCCTTCGTCTCTAACCTTGGTTATCTTGCTATTTTGTCTGATCTTCGAACCTTAGTTTTGTGCTGAACCTTTAATGGTGTCATGCATTCTATTTAGGTAGTCCTACGCAAACCGAGCAGTGGTAGGTTTAGTTTCTCATCCTGCTTTTCCACAGACTGTAAAGTACTGATACTTATGAACGCACCATTCTATGGTTTCGCATTCTCCTCTAGACTGATTACAATTCTACACACTTG